ATCCCATAGCAGCTTACTGTACTCTATCAAGGTTTGGGGGCCTATAAATCACACCAAAAATTAATTTTTCATGCCCCTAGAGAAACTGTAGCCAAACAGATTCTGTGTCTGATGTTTCTAATCTTATATCATGTCTAACACAACAATTTTAATTATCTCTGACATACATCGCCACTCCACCACCCTTCCTGTTAACCCTATCAGTGTGGAATATAATTTATAACCCTGTATGCTGCATTCAGAAGGCATTTCTCTATTCCAGTTGAACCAGGTCTCTGTTATAGCAATAATATTTATATTACCTGCACTTGCGAGTAATCTTAGCTCATCTATCTTATTTCTTAGAATCCTACTATTTGTATAGTAAACCTTAAGGGAGCTAGTCACTCGTTGGCCTCTACTATCTCTCTTTGTTTGTTGATCAATTGCTTTGCCTTTACTAGGAACTTTATTTTGAATATTGTCTTTTAAACATATCCCTGAGGTATCCTGGTAATATCTGCTGTTTCCAACAATAATACTGCAGCCTGATTGTTTCCCACAAACACCCCATACCTCTATAATCTATCAGCTTAAAGTCCTAGACAAGTCATCAATTACCCCCTCAATCGAATTGGCTAATGCAATCACTCCAACCCCAGAGAGATGAACATCATCCCTTACATACATATCATGTCTGCCACAATTTGCCCCAGTTATCAATGAATGGGATTCCAAGTTCCTTGCAGTACCTGTCTAGCCAGCAATTTATACCAATTGCCCTAGACATCCATTCATTGCCCACTCCCCTTCTAAGCAAGATGCTACATATGATAGGAATCTGACTACTTCTATGGCTGACCTGTACTTATCCAGTAGCTCCTGTCTCCTGCCCTTCCCAATGTCATTTCCACCAGCACTAAGACAGATAATGGGTTTGTTCCCATTACCTGACATAATATCCAACCTGCTGACTATATCACTAACACCAGCTCCTGGGAGGCACACCCTCTGTCTGACTTTTCTATCTCTGTTACAAAAAAGCACAGTCCATATATCTTACCTAAGTCTTTCTCACAATCAGAATACTCTTACCTTGATTAGCAGGGGAGTCAGAGGTACCTTTAACCTCACTAACCACTGAAATACACTCGTCCTGGAGAACAGAGAATCGATTTCCTACCTTCACATCTTTATTAACCCCCCTTATCTTCCTTCTTCCTGAACTGTGAACCACTTGCCACTTAAAGTGGCTGCCACTCTCACTAGTGGCAACCATTTCCTCCTTACCAGCACCAATTATCTCACACTCACTCCCAAGCCCATCTAGGTGAAGCTTCAGCCTCCTATTTTTTTTCCTGAAGAAGTAGGACCACCACCTTCAACACTTTAACCTGAGATTCTAAAACTACAACAAGCCATGGTGCTCGGTAACACCCCGCGCTAATACCAAGACAGCTCAGGACAGGTATGACCACACGTGATCGTCGAACTCAAGTCTAACTAACCAATTTCCCGGAATCCCTTCACAAAATATTACCCTGCTCACACTCCAACAGTTCGTTAGGTCCCAAAAACCATTCATCTCCTTTCACTCCTATCTAACACGCTCTTGCACACTTGCTGTAAGTCCAAGCCCCTCACCCACAAAACCTCCTTTACCCCCTCTCCCCATTGTTTTTGGGAATGACCCCTACTCCGCCTTCCTTCGCCAACAGATTTATATGCTCTCCAAGTCATTCTACTGTGTTCCATTCTCTCATCCTTCATAAACCCATCTGCTGACAAGTCAACTCCCAAATATCTGAAAACATTCACTTCTTCCATACTCCCTCCCTCCGATGTGATATGCAATTTTTTTTATCTTGATCGTTTGATGCCTTCATCACCTTACTCTTATCTATATTCACTTTCAACTTTCTACACCCTCCCAAACTAGTCCACTAACCTTTGTAACTTTTCTTTAGAATCTCCCAAAAGCACAGTATCATCAGCAAAAACTGTGTCAACTCCTATTTTGTATTTCATTCCCCATAATTTAATCCCACCCATCTCCCCAACACTAGTATTTACTTCTTTTACAACCCCATCTATAAATACGTTAAACAACCATGGTGACATTATGCATCCCTGTCTAAGACCTACTTTTACTGAGAAGTAATCTTGCTCTCTCCTACACACCCTAACCTGAGCCTCACTCCTCATAAAAATTCTTTACAGCATTTTTTTTTTATTAACACACTGGCCGATTCCCACCAAGGCAGGGTGGCCCGAAAAAGAAAAACTTTCACCATCATTCACTCCATCACTGTCTTGCCAGAAGGGTGCTTTACACTACAGTTTTTAAACTGCAACATTAACACCCCTCCTTCAGAGTGCAGGCACTGTACTTCCCATCTCCAGGACTCAAGTCCGGCCTGCCAGTTTCCCTGAACCCCTTCATAAATGTTACTTTGCTCACACTCCAACAGCACGTCAAGTATTAAAAACCATTCGTCTCCATTCACTCCTATCAAACACGCTCACGCACGCCTGCTGGAAGTCCAAGCCCCTCGCACACAAAACCTTTACCCCCTCCCTCCAACCTTTCCTAGGCCGACCCCTACCCCGCCTTCCTTCTACTACAGACTGATACACTCTTGAAGTCATTCTGTTTCGCTCCATTCTCTCTACATGTCCGAACCACCTCAACAACCCTTCCTCAGCCCTCTGGACAACAGTTTTGGTAATCCCGCACCTCCTCCTAACTTCCAAACTACGAATTCTCTGCATTATATTCACACCACACATTGCCCTCAGACATGACATCTCCACTGCCTCCAGCCTTCTCGCTGCAACATTCATCACCCATGCTTCACACCCATATAAGAGTGTTGGTAAAACTATGCTCTCATACATTCCCCTCTTTGCCTCCAAGGACAAAGTTCTTTGTCTCCACAGACTCCTAAGTGCACCACTCACCCTTTTCCCCTCATCAATTCTATGATTCACCTCATTATTAATAATATTATTAATAATAATAATAATCGCTCTGGAGCACTTTAAATGTCATATATTTCGTGTACCACATCTACACAAAATGCATGACATTTAAAGCACCCCAAATCGATTATTATTATTATCACTACCATCAACATACCTTGTTCACTGTCAAGGGATTAGCTTGTGTGTTTGTCTGTTTACATTCTCAGTGTTTCTCTCATTGTGATCAAAGCTCACAACAGTGCCACTATCACATGTGTGAAGAAAATGACAGGATGGACAATGAGAACGTTCAGAATGAGATGCCAAGCCAATGATCCTTCTTAAGTGAATGCCTGTATAGTGAATTTATATGAATGCCCTGCACCTAATCATATTTAATTTTTTTCCAAACTAATCCTCTAATTTCAAAGGATTCAAATAGGAAAAATAAAGAAAGAACAAGGTAGTGTGAGAGCACTTTTCCCTTCAACTTGTATTGTGCTGGATGATGCATACATCTCTCTGTCAGCTTAAAGCCAATAACTGTGTGACTATGTTTTACTCATGGCTTGGGAAGACCTTGACAAGCCACAGGTTTTTTATCTTTTGATGTGATGTACTGGTAATCATACCCATTTATTCTATGCCAGAACTCCCTGAAAAACGAGTTCCTAGAGCCAGAATGTGTTCTCACTGCTAGACTGTGTGGATATAGAGACTATTATAATGGTCATCAGTGAATGGTTATTAGTACAAATACAGTGGAACCTCAAATATCGAATTGCTCCCAACTCAACCAATTATGTAAGTGTATTTTTGTAAGTGCTTTTATAAGTGTATTTTTGAGGGTCTGAAATGAACTAATCTAATTTACATTATTCCTGATGGGAATAAATTCGTTCGGTAACGGCACTCGAACAGCCGTCTGGAACGAAGAAAGTTTGATATGTATTTGAGGTTCCACTGTACTGTACTAATAAAGTAATGCAAATGGACACAAAATGATGGCACTATAATGAATTTATTACTGTGAATTCAAATGTTGAGAAATTATGTGGTTCTCATCTCTAAATCTCAGAAAACATTGTAGAAGATTTAAAGGACTAAATACTGACATACCAGAGTACATTTTTAAGTGTGTGGCACAGTTTGCCTATATTGTAGCTATTAACTAATCATTATTGTATAATGACATCCCTTCAAGGCAGGGTTACCCTGATGCAGCTGAATGGTTTGTGATCCAAGGAACTGGAGCTACCTTTCCCTTCCTTCCCTGGACTGAACCAGTGTGTCTCCTATTTTCCAGCCACTGTACACCCTCACAGGTTTAGCACATCCCACAGGTGCAATTCTTTCTTCTTTCTTTCAACACACCGGCTGTATCCCACCAAGGCGGGGTGGCCCAAAAGGAAAAACGAAAGTTTCTCCTTTTACATTTAGTAATATATACAGGAGAAGGGGTTACTAGCCCCTTGCTCCTGGCATTTTAGTCGCCTCTTACAACACGCATGGCTTACGGAGGAAGAATTCTGTTCCACTTCCCCATGGAGGTAAGAGGAAATAAACAAGAACTAGAAAGAAAATAGAAGAAAACCCAGAGGGGTGCACGTATATATGCTTGTACATGTATGTGATGTGTGACCTAAGTGTAAGTAGAAGTAGCAAGACGTACCTGAAATCTTGCATGTGTATGAGACAGAATAAAAAGACACCAGCAATCCTACCATCATGTAAAACAATTACAGGCTTTCGTTTTACACCCACTTGGCAGGACGGTAGTACCTCCCTGGGTGGTTGCTGTCTACCAACCTACTACCTAGGACAGGTGTAATAATAATGTATAATAATATTCAGAGCTTCCACAAGTTTTACACATCATGCATGTACTTGATATGCTTTAAAACAAATGTTTAATTTTTTTAATTATAATATTATAATGGGACAATTTATGGTAATTGTCATAAATTATTAAACTTGATAAATGATATTAAATGATAAAAATAATTAAGCAGGAATTTTTTGTTAAAAGATTAGTATTATGGTATAGCTGTACTCACCACATCATCACAGCCTCCAGCATTCTTGATGCAGAGTTTCACATTACACTGGTAGTACACAGATGAAGTATAGGGAAACTTATGTGCCTGGAAGCGCACTGAAGCTGTAGTCTTGGAGGATGAATACTCATATGCTCCAAGGATTTCATAGTCTACTGGACACCTGCCCAAGTACACATTTAAAGGATTGTTACAATTAGAATTGTCAGATTGAAATAAATATAAATGGTAAACAAAAAACTGAGGGAAATACTTCATAAAGGGTGCCATAATAATGAAGGGCTCGTGATCAAAGGAACTAAAGTTGCCTTTCCTTGCGTTAAACAAGAATGTCTTATTCTCCAAGTACTGTGTGACCCCACCCTACATATTTAGCACTCCCATGATTATTATAATAAGAATTTATACATATACAGTGGAACCTCTATTTACGAGTGCATCCATGTGCAAGTTTTTCCATGTGCTTCCAAATGCGAGCAGGCTTCAAGGGAGGTTCCTTGATGCTGGTGAGGGGCTCTTGCTCTTGATCTAGGGAACTGGATCTCAGTTGAAATTTGAGCAATGTATGATGAAAAGATGCTTAAGGTACACCAAAAATGAAAAATCGGACCATAAATAACAGAGTTCACTTCTCAGCCATTAGCTTCCCCTTAGCGGTATATTTTCGTATGGTTTTTATTGTTGATTTCTCATTTTTTTCGGTCTCATTTGATAGAATGGAAGATATACTACAGAAATAGATATGATTTTGATTGGTTTCACAACAAAGAGTACCTTGAAATTGAGCTCAAAGTAGAAGAAATGTTCGATTCTCTGGCGATGTTCACGAGTAAATAAATGACATCACCGTCCAATACCTGTCCGATTGGCACTGCCCCTCAACCTTTGCATACTGGAAAGCTCTTCAACACTCTAGCAAAAGTGGGAGCAGACAACATGAAGCAGCAGTGGCAGACAACATGAGGTAGCAGTGGCAGACAACATGAAGCAGCAGTGGCAGACATGATGCAGCAGTAGCAGACATGAGGTAGCAGTGGCAGACAACATGAAGCAGCAGTGGCAGACAACATGAAGCAGCAGTGGCAGACATCATGAAGCAGCAGTGGCAAATAACATGAAGCAGTAGTGGCAGACCTTGTTGTACCCTATACTATAAGTGAGTTTCCGAATGCCACCACGAGATGGCAGTATCAAAACGACGCTCAGGGCACTCCACTCATGGTGAAGGGAATTCTCGTGTTTTCCTTACGTTTCATGCAGTTATTTTGCAAAATTTCTTGTTTCTAACCATGGGTCCTAAGAAAGCAAGTGTAAAGGACAGTGCTGAGAAGAAAAAGAGGACAAATTCCATGGAATTAAAGCAGGAAATCATAGATAAACAAACTAGGTGAAGGGTTAAGGACTTGGCCAGGCAGTACCAGCGTACCACTTCTACGATATGTACAATACTAAAGCAGGAGTCAGTGACAACGTGTAGCATTAAGAGTGTAGCAATTATAAGTCACTCTGTCTGACTTTTTTTGGGTTATCCTATGTTCTCTACACTTGTAGTCAGGAGCAGGAATGGCCGTTGTGGCGGCCCTATAAATCCCAACAACAATGGCCGCTGTCACCACCACTAGCCACATACATACTGACATGTATTTTATTCATTCTAGTGTATATATCATGTTTCTATGTCATTAACATTGTTTCTCATATTAGATGAATTGTGATAGATAAATAAGCCGTAAAATTGACATTAGGGAAATTATTGACGTATTTTGTCGTGCCTGGAATTCCACTTGAACGAATTAATGCCATTTCAATTAATTTAAATGAGGAAAATTTACTCTGCAAACAAGGAAATCCAGATGCGAGGAAGGTCACAGAACGGATTAAACTCATAAGTAGAGGTTCCACTGTATATTTTATGCAATATGTACTGTACTATTATTATATTCATTTCTGATTTATTTTTAAAAAGTAATGATTAAATTTAAAACAAAGTGCAAGGCATGTTATAAATTATTTGATTTCATGATTAAAAATTCAGTGGAGCCTCTGTTTTCGTGATTAATCTGTTCTAAAAAGTCTGAGGAAACCCGAATCATAAGAAAACTGAAGCAGTATTTCCCATAAGAAATAATGTAAATCCAATTAATCTGTTCCAGATACCCAAAAATATTAACAAAAAATACATTTTATAGAGAATAACTAATGTTTTACATGCAGAAAACAATGAGAAATAAATATATGACTAATGAAATGGATAAATGAACATTTAACCTAACTTTTAACTTTACTGAAGACTTTTGTTGATGTATGGAAGACGGCAAGGAGGGAGGAGGATTATTATAATCAAAAAGAAGTGCTAAACTGCAAGGGTTATACAGAGCAGCAGGACAGGGAAGGATGCAGGGGAAATGGGTGGCAAGAGGGAGAGGGATGATTATTTGGGTATGGAGTGCAGTGGGGCAGTGGATAGTGCAGGGGTAGAGGGTAGCTAGAGCCTAGGGTAGAAAGGACAAAGGAGAGTGCTAAAGGCATCATCGTCGGAGTTTGTGTAGTAAATCGGTCGCTGTCAAAAAGTCAATGAGAGAGTCTGGATTAAAGGAGGGTACATCAGCAAGAAGGGAGAGTAAGAGGGAGGAGAGGTTATTATTTGGAAGGGGAATCCCATTCCATAAGGACTTCAGGTACCAAGGCCCTATCTGGGGTTACTTCCCTTCTTTGTGTTTTACTGGCACTAGGACCAGCTTGAGAGTCACTGTACCCCTGTTGCACAAAAAATCTGTCCAGAGAGGTCTGTTTCTGGTGTCTCTAAGATTTGCCTAAAATGGGACAAGGCATTATCACTGAACACATTGCAGACACGGCTTGCAACAGCTTTGTTAGGGTGATATTTCTCCACAAAACTTTGCAACTCACTCCACTTTGCACACATGTCCTTAATCAATGAAGAAGGCACATTCTCCCCTCTCTCTTCCTCTTCCTCCTCCTCGTTGACGAGGACTTCTCGTACATCCTGACGAGATCGACCACACGTACACCACTTTCGTACCTTGGTACGAGTTCTTGAATTCTTTTGTGCTTCTCACCTTCTTTATCAAAGGGCTGGCACTCGGAACTTTCTTTGGCCCCATGGCGGTTCATTTAGCAGTTGCACTCAATAAACAAGCACAAAAAACAATGGATTATTACAAATGTTTTGGATGAACGCGCGGGGTGATGCTCACTCAACAAGAAACAAAGGCAGACTGAGTCACTAATGCATGGGATGCTTTGTGTGGGCGCTTGAGTGGCCGAGTCACGCAGACGCGTTTGGTACGAACTATTTTCAACTACGAAAACCAAGCGGATGTATGAAAACTGGGACAAAATTTCAAAGAAAAAAGTCGTCGAAAACTGAATCCTACAAAAACTGGGGCATACGAAAACCATGGTTCCACTGTACAGTACAACTTCAATTTAATGGACTAATAGGGAGAGGTGTTCAATAGTCTAAAAAAAAAATGGAAAGAGAATGAAGATTTGTTGCACAAGCAATAATAGTTGCCACTTACTTTCCACTCCATGAGGTAATACACAATTTTGCATCCAGTAGATTTTTGCCCATTGTTTCCAAAGTGTGTTAAATGGAGGTCTGTTAAATTAAGGCTTTGTTGTAGCTAAAAAAAAAAAAACTAAGTTCAGTAACATGAGTCTGTGTATGCATATCTCACAATTACACATTTCTAATGTGTGATTAGATCAATTCTAAAAAAATTGCATGGCGCTTGTAATGGCCTTAGGTCTGCTTGGGATACTTAATGCACCATTCATGACTAACATGGGATTTCCCTTTCCCAATTTACAAATGGCAAGAACTAACCCTTGCCCCAACAGTTTATCATACCTTTTCCAATCAATAAAGAATGCCAAGGTATAGAGGTGGCTCATGAAACCTACATGGATAGCACCTCAGTTCTGTTAAGGAGTTTCTGAAAGGTCAGATCTTTCAAAAGTCAAATTACACCAAGCAGATGCAACCATTCATCTGGAATCAAACCAAGCAGGCATATATCATCCTCTGCAGCCATTTGAGGAGATAGGCAGGGAGCATGCAGGTGTCCCAACCTGATGTAGGAATGGCCATAATACAGACTGATGTCAATTTCAGGATAATACACCACCCCTCCAAATAAGTTTGCAGCACTACTGAAGATAAGATAAGATTTCGTTCGGATTTTTAACCCCGGAGGGTTAGCCACCCAGGATAACCCAAGAAAGTCAGTGCGTCATCGAGGACTGTCTAACTTATTTCCATTGGGGTCCTTAATCTTGTCCCCCAGGATATGACCCACACCAGTCGACTAACACCCAGGTACCTATTTGCTGCTAGGTGAACAGAACAACAGGTGTAAGGAAACGTGTTGAAATGTTTCCACCCGCCGGGAATCGAACCCGGGCCCTCCGTGTGTGAAGCGGGAGCTTTAGCCACCAGGCCACCGGGCTTGGTAAAGCTGAAGGAAAGTGCTGCAATACTTTTTAATGCTCCCTATCCTCCTCTGAGGCCATGGAAGGAAACAGTGACATGACCCTTGGCATTCCTTCCATGCCAGGCAACATCATTTCCTGGATTTCCTATCATTTGACAGGAAGACAGATTCCTTCCAATATTGGGCCCAGAACTTCTTGTAATTTTCAGAGTGCATTTCACAAATAACACATTTTAGAAAGGAAATTTTAGATGACTTTTCAGGATCATTATGAAGTCACAGCCAAGTGAAAAATAGGGAGATAACCAGAGAATATGTCAAGTGAATAGATGAAGAGAAAGCCAGTAGAGGTCAGGTGACAATAACAATAGAAACAATTTCCTTGAGATGTAATTTATCTCAGTAAACTTAATATCACTCACCTGACCTGTTTACTGGTAATTTCATCAACTGACCTGTCTTATTTTCTCCCCATTTTCCCACTTAGTTGTTACTTAATAATGGTCAGGAATGGGTCAAAATGTCATCAAAAGTTTTCTCTCCAAAGTGTAAGACTATAGGTTATTTATGATGTATTTAAGCTATCATATTGTGATTTGTATTCTTCATTTTCATAGTATTTTGCAGGTCATTATCATGTCTCACCTTGTTCTTTGTTCCTCCAGGAACAGAAAATCTAGTTCTCACATTCTTCATAGCTCATTCCTCTTAACTAGGATGTGTACATTTGAATTTTCTTGTATTTTGCTTTGTATATAACTAGAAGTGGATATCACACTGGCTATGATAACTTGAACACAGGTCACACAGGAGGTAAAGTGTTTCAAAATACACAGCCTGGCATGTGCAGATGTCATTTTATTTATGGGCACTTTAAGGATAAAGTTTGGTGTAACAGATTGTCCTAGGTCTTGTTACTTGTCTGATACTATGAATTTACCTCTCCTCTCAGGTGGTTTTTCTCTGTTCTCCATCATCCAGTATCATTTGTCTACATGCTGGGGTCAAACTTCAGTAGCCACATGTTTAAACTATGCCTATAGTTGATACTCTTTAAAAAATTGTACTCTCTAAAATTTTCACTGCTCTTCCAGTTATTTCCTGGTCTGTCTGAAGTTATATCTCATCAGTCTTTACAATAAAAATTTAGAACAAACTGTTGGGATGATAAGACAGAAAAAAACAAAAGTGATTTATAGTTATCTGAACAAGAACTTGAGAATGTTAACCAAAAAAAAGTAGTATAAAATGCACAGATGTTTATAAAGTGCCTTGAAAGCCTTGTCATGAGGTTTGCTCTATTTTAGAAAGATTGAAGAAACCTGAAAACCAGGAGAATCCTCCCAGAGTATTCTGTACCGTATACTAAAACTGATAAGATTGCAAAAAAGAGTGAGGTCAACCATGACTTTCTGAATTCTTTTTAATTAATATAACATACCAGTGAAAAAATTAGGTATTCCCACAAGTGACTGGTCTCCTTCTAAAACTGGAAAGAAAACAAAGAAGCCTTGACTTACCCATCACTGTTGATGAGCATTTGCTCTCCCCAGCCAAGACCATCCCTCACAAGGCAGTCTGTGACCTTCATGCCATAGATCTCCTGGTCATCAAGGGAAATTACCATGGTGAGGGGGTCACCAATGCGTACATTCTCTGCAACTGCTCTGTCTGAGGGTGACCCAGCAAAGATACGCATGTAGCAGCCAGGCATCGGGGCTGTAGCAGTAAGTGGTGTTGTTCCAATGAAGCTGTATGGTGAAATGACATATTAATGCAAATTTCATTCTAATGCAGTTTTGGTTAATCAGGAAAAGGAAATATCTTTATTATACGGTATCATATTATTTTTATTACAAATATTTTTCATAATGCATCTTTATAAATGTGATTCATCTGTATGTGCAAAATGCAATTGAAGATGATTAAGACCTTTAAAACAGGAAAGAAAAAGAAAGAATTACACTGCAACCCATCCCAGATAGAGTATGTAGTTTGTAAGTCATGCAAGGGTAACAAACAACAGGCACTGTTTAAGCATATACAGTAATTCACTTACTTTTCTAAGTGTTTCAAATAAAGCATTACACCATACTCCCATACTCTACATCGTGAACCCTCTGTTTAACGGACTAATTGGGGGGAGCGGGTGGCCAGTAATGGCAAGTGTGGTGAATAGAGAAAAGATTATTTTGCTGTGATTGAAACAATAATGAACAATTCTGCAGCCAATGGAGTTTGTTCATTATTTCCTAATCTACTGATCCAGCAAATATTGTTCTGTATTTCCAAAGTCTATTAAATGGAGGGTTTGCTGTACTGTAATACAAAACTACATTCAGTACAGTAGTATAATAGCAAGTAAAACTTATCTTGAGCTAGCTTATAACATTGTTTGAATTGGAATATATTCCATATTTCATGCACAAAAAAATTATTTTGCTGTGTACTAAATTAAATCAAAACAGTTAGTGTTTTAGTACACTTCCTACATGTACCTATAACTATAACTTGTGGTGCTGCCTCTAAATTTTAATAGGTTAACTTTAGCCTTCGCAAATCAGGGCTTTTGCCAAAGCCTGAGGCTGTAATCTCCAAAAGCACAGTATAAACCAATTTTTACCCACACCTGTCCTCTAGACTGTCAGTTATAAGCAATGAATACAACATTGCACATTCAGCTCACTACTGCCATAAACTTTATGTAGATTAGGCTGGCTGTGAGAATTGAGTATTTCTTCCTGAGTAGCATACAAATAATTAATAATCATTTGCACAATAGCCTTCATTACAGTTCCCAAGTTCCTGTAACTTTACACATGGCTCTTATCTGATGGAAAGTGGCTTCATTACCATGATCCTACATAACACCCATAACCTTAAAATGATAACTGTTATTTGACTAAACCTTTTTAATGTCTGAAAAAGGTGCAATGTAATGGAACTCATGTAATTTGAAGTTTATATTTACTGCTGAAGTTTCAACTTATAGCAATGCATTACGTTATTTAATCTTTGCAATCTTTTCATAATGTAGTTCTCCTACCATCATATACACCTGCTGCCATAATATTACTATAATATACACCTTATTCTCATCCCCTAATGCCATAATAACATCTTCCTATCAAAAGCTACACCTGTTACCATAATATACACCTGTTACTATAATATACACTTGCTACCATCATGTATACCTGTTACTATAATATATGCCTACTACTATAATGTACATCTGCTACCAAAATATACAAGGCATAGTCTATCTGGAGGGTATTCTGGGGATCAATGCCCCCACAGCCCAGTCCATGACCAGGCCTCCCGGTGGATCAGGGCTCGATCAACTAGGCTGTTACTGCTGGCCACACGAAAACCAATGTACGAACCATGGCCCAGCTGATTCGGCTCCGACTTTAGGTATCTGTCCAGCTCCCTCTTTGAAGGCAGCCAGGGGTCTACTGGTAATTTCCCTTATGTCTAGTGGGAGGCTGTTGAACAGTCTTGGGCCCCAGATACTTAGTGTGTTTTCTCTTAGTGTACTAATGGCACCTCTACTTTTCACTGGAGGTATGTTGCACTGCCTGCCAAGTCTTTTGCTTTTGTAGAGTGTGATTTCTGTGTGCAGATTAGGGACCAGTTCCTCTAGGATTTTCCAGGTGTAGATTATGATGTACGTGTATTTCGCCTGTGCTCCAGTGAGTACAAGTTAAGTGGTTCCAAGCGTACCCAGTAGTTAAAGTGTTTGATGGAACTTATATGTGCAGTAGAGGTTACACAAATAACCCGCACATAGACGAGAGGAGCTTACAACAACGTTTTGGTCTGGGACCATTTACAAAGTCACACTAACAAAAAGGAGAGCAGGATGGGTATATATAAACAAGAGGTGATAGTAGTAGAAGGAAGTAGTAGTGGGGAAGGTAGTAAGGAGGAGGAGGAGCCAGTCAAATAAGAAAGAAGAGCACTGCAAGGGAGCTAGGTGCCCACAGAGGGTAAGAGCAAGAATACCAAGGGGGCAAAAATAAATAAATAAATAATGAAGGAACAAATACACAAGGCAGAAGAAAGACAACCCAAAGGAGAAAAAGGAAAGAGGAAAGGGGAAGAGGGAGAAGAAGAAAAAGGAGGAATCAGGTTAGGTCATGGGTGTTCTGAAGTTTGGAGCATTTTACAATATAGTGGGAAAGGAAGGCATCTACAGAGATGAAGCCAGGACTAAGATTCATACAAGGAAAGTCGAGTATTAGAGATAATTCAACCAGACGGCGACTATTAAAGTTGGAAGTAGGGAAGAGAGTTTTAGCAGAAGACCAGTCAATAGGATGGCTGTGATCTCTGACGTGACAGAAAAGAGCACTGTTAGTGTCGGCAAGCCTAACACTACTACTTTTGTGCTCCCTAAGTCTGTCAGAAAGAGATTGGCCAGTTTCTCCAATGTATTGAAGAGGAACAAGAAACAGAGTAGACACCAGGAGCATCTATAGAGGGAGGAGAGGTATGAACGAGATTAGTGTGAAAAGTGTTAGTCTGGCGGAAAATAAGTTTGATGTCTAAGGAACTGAGAGAGTTGTTGAGATTAGAAAGACTGGAAATGTAGGAAATGCAGAGGACAGAAGAGTTCCCAGGAGTAGAGAGTTTGGGAGAGAAGAAATTATATTTAGCATGTAAGAAGGCAGAGTCTATGAAATGGGAAGGGTAGCCAAGACAGGAAAATGAATATGAAGAGTGGAAATTTCTGATTGAAGGAACTGAGGATCACAAATGCGGAGAGCACGAAGAAAGTCAGGAGGACAGAGGTTGGAGAGAGTCCTTAGTTTCTTGTTGAAAGTTCTCTTGATGCGATCAAGAGGGTTGGAAACGAGAGGAGTGTAGGTACGTGAGTGAGAGAGCAAGACATTAGCTTTACGGAGGTAATCCTCGCAATCAAGGATAACTACCGAGTTACCTTTGTCAGAAGATAGTAAGGTTCTTAGAAAACAAGACTATCAAGAGCAGGAAGGCCAGCACCACGAAAAGTGGACAAGTCAGGAAGATTGTTTCCAACTCTCTTGATCGCATCAAGAGAACTTTCAACAAGAAAGTAAGGACTCTCTCCGACCTCTGTCCTCCTGACTTTGACCTTGTTCAATGTTTTTGTGTCATCTGTCCCTCTCTGCCCTATTTCTATGGCCTACCCAAAACTCATAAACCTGATATTCCTCTGTCCTATCATATCCTCTAGAGGTTCTGTCTCTTATTTTCTTGCTTCTTGGCTGGCCATAACCCTCACTCCCTTTTTTGGTACTTTTTCTCCTGCCCACCTCCGTCACTCTCAAGACTTCATTGAACGGGTTCGCTCTCTTCCAACCTGTAAGAAGCTTAGTCTTGACGTTGAGTCCCTCTTCACCAATGTCCCTCTTGATGACGTCTTTGATTTTCTTAGAGAGAAGGCCAACGAAGGGTTTCTTCATCTCCCTATACCTACTGATGTCTTTCTTGATCTTATCCACCTCTGTGTGGACTCTAATTCCTTTTCCTTCCAAGGGAAATATTATTCTCAAACCTTCGGTGTCACTATGGGCTCTCCTCTTTCTCCTGTCCTTGCCAATCTTTATATGGAATACTTCGAGACTGTTCTTCCTACTATCGATGTGCGCCCTTCACTCTGGCTTCGCTATGTAGATGACATCTTTGCACTGTGGCTTCATGACTATCTTCCAACCTTTTCTTGATGCTCCTAATAATCTTGCCCCTTCCATTAAGTTTAAAGCTGAATGTGAATCTAATTCCTTGCTTCCTTTCCTTGATGTTCATGTCCACTGCTCAGATACAGGTTTTGCCTTTTCCATTTATCACAAACCTATGCACAGTGGCATGTACATTCACTACTTTTCTTATCATGCTTCCTCTGTCAAGAAAAGTGTTCTTATCTCCCTCTTTCTCTGTACTCTCCGCATTTGTGATCCTCAGTTCCTTCAATCAGAAATTTCCACTCTTCATAATTCATTTTCCCGTCTTGGCTACCCTTCCCATTTCAAAGACTCTGCCTTTTCACGTGCTAAACATAATTTCTTCTCTTCCAAACTCTATACTCCTGGTAATTCCTCTGTCCTCTGCCTTCCCTACATTTCTGGTCTTTCTAATCTTAACAACTCTCTCTGTTCCTTAGACATCAAACTTACTTTTCACCAGACTAACACTCTTCGCACTAATCTCGTTCATACCTCTCCTCCCTCTACAGATGCTCCTGGTGTTTACTCTATTTCTTGTTCCTCCTGTTCTCTTCAATACTTTGGAGAAACTGGCCGATCTCTTTCTGACAGACTTAAGGAGCACAAAAGTAATGTTAGGCTTGCCGACACGTCAGAGATCACAGCCATCCTATTGACTGGTCTTCTGCTAAAACTGTCTTCCCTACTTCCAACTTTAACAGTCGCCATCTGGTTGAATCTTCCCTAATACACAACTTTCCTTGTATGAATCTTAGTCCTGGCTTTGTCTCTGTAGATGCCTTCCTTTCCCACTACATTGTAAAATGCTCCAAACTTCAGAACACTCGTGACCTAACCTGATTCCTCCTTTTTCTTCTTCTCCCTCTTCCCCTTTCCTCCTTTGGGTTGTCTTTCTGCCTTGTGTATTTGTTCCTTCATTATTTATTTATTTATTTTTTCCCCCTTGGTGTTCTTGCTCTTACCCTCTGTGGGCACCTAGCTCCCTTGCAGTGCTCCTCTTTCTTATTTTGACTTACTACCTTCCCCACTACTAATTCCTTCCACTTCTACTACAACTACCACCACCACCACCTCCTCCCTATATATACCCATCCTGCTCTCCTTTTCGTTAGTGTGACTTTGTAAGTGGTCTAAGTCGGACCGAAACATCGTTGTAAGCTCCTCTCTTCTATGTGCGGGTTATTTGTGTATCGTTCCAGTCACGGTGTTGTGTTTTTTTTTTATTTGCAGTAAAGGTTCTGTGTACATTCTCTAGATCTGCAATATCACCTGCTTTGAATGGAGATGTTAATGTACTGCAGTATTCCAGCCTAGAGAGATAAAGTGATTTAAAAAGGATCATTGCTGGCTTGGCATATCTCGTTTTGAACATTCTTATTATCGATCCTATCATTTTCCTCGCAGATGTGATAGTGGCACTGTTGTGATCCTTGAAGATGAAATCCTCAGGCATTACCACTCCCAGGTTCTTCACATTACTTTTCCACTTTATTGTGTGATTAGAGTTTGCAATATATTCAGTTCTAGCTATTATTTCCTCCAGTTTTCCATAACGGGGTAGTTGAAATTTGTCTTCATTGAACATCATATTGTTATCCATTGCCCACTGGAAAATTGGTTTATATATTGGAGATTTACCATGTCCCTGAACTGAACCTGAATGCCTTCCAGCCCCACCCCCACAGGTACTGTATAATCCCTACGAGTTTAGCGCTCCCCATAATAATAATACCATGTCCTCGATGGCTGACAGTCTCGTACAGATTCCAGTAGCGTCTGTAAAGGATGACACGAATATACCTGCCATAATATACACCTGTTATGATACACCTGCGATAATATACACCTGTTATAATACACCTACCATAATACACACCTGTTATAATACACCTACCATAATATACACCTGTTATAATACACCTGTGGAAAATAATTTCCCCAAAAATTATGCTGTATAATTTTATAATGTAAATACACCTGATTAATATATTACTTTGCTCTAAAGTGTATTTTTAAAGAAGTGAACCGACAGGGAAGCTCTGTGCCTGCGCTGCGGAGCAGGGAGGAGACGCCATTATTTTTTTAATGTTGTACAAGCACTCTAATGTAATGTGCATAATTTTTGTCGCTCTAGGGGTTATATTGGGCTTAAAACCTCTCAAATAGGAGCCGAAATTGTTGGATGTGCAGTGCTGCATAACGTGAGCATTAAGCAGATGGACAGGACAGCTCCAGGAACCTCAGATAAGCTGTCTAATTTATGTTGTAATTCTGGCCAGTATTTTCATCATAAATTTAGGCAGAGGGGGGTTCTGTACATGACACACAGTAATCTCCAGACTAATTGGTGAGTCTTATGATTATAAATTCTCCTTCTGTTACATAAATGTGTATATGTAATCATTTATTAATTTTAATATACAGTCCACATGTTTATATTAAATTTTACCACAATTCCTGGTGATGTATATTTCATTTGCAATTAATATAGGTCTAGAGCAACTTGTGGATATGACAGTTGTAGGTATTGAAGGGGGATATTTTTTGAGACCTAGGTGTCCCAAAATTCCTGCTTGTCTATGTAACTTTGATAAATAATAATTATCTTTGTTACCATTTACTGGTATGTATGTAATGAGTTACATCCAGGCAAATTTAATTTTCCACAACACCCACCATAATATACACCTGTTATAATACACCTACCATAATATACACCCATTATAATATACACATGTTATAAGGCATCTGCCATAATATACACCTGCCATAATATGCACCTGTTTTAATACGCCTGCCATAATATACACCTGCCATAACATACACCTGCCATAACATACACCTGTTTTAATACACCTGCCATAATATACACCTGTTATAATACACCTACCATAATATACACCTGTTATACAACTACCATAATATTCACCTGTTATACAACTACCATAATATACACCTATTATAATACATCTACCATAATATACAAAAACTAGAGGAGGAGGCAGGAATCACAGAGGGAACCTTGCAGTGGCTTAAGGAATATTTAACAGGAAGGAAACAAGTTATTGTCAGAGAAGAGTCAGGATGGGCGAGTGTGATGAATTGGGTTCCAGTATTCTTTGTGTATGTAACAACGCAAAAAACTGAGTCGGAGGTGGTCCCTGTTCGAAGATAACGTGCTGTATGACCCTTGCAAGTTTAACGCTTCTTTTTTATTATAATAATAAGCGAATATAACGTAAAACTAATGAGAGTACAAACAGAAACAAATCGCAAAAGACTGCAAATAAATCTGGATAAGCTGCAGGATTGGTCTAACGAGTGCCTATTACAATTTAACCCCATTAAATACAAAAGTTGTGAAAACTGGGAAAGGCAAAGACCGGAAACAGGGTACAGGCTCGGGGACAATGGCTGCAAATTAACCTAAAAGAGGAGGACCTCAGGGTGAGCACAGTTCCGAGTATTTCGCCTCAGATATTATTATTATTATTATTATAATCAAGGGGAAGCGCTAAACCCGGAGGATTATACAGCGCCTGGGGGGGGGATGTGGAAGGCATTCAGGCTTAATTCGGGGAACTGGAGCACAGATCCAATTCCCTAAATCAAGAGCCCCTCACCAACATCAAGGAACCTTCCTTGAGGGGTCGCCTCAGATAGACAACAGCTAAATGCATGACTGGCAAATTTAAGGGTAGCTTTCAGGAACCTCAATGAGGCATCCACCCTTACTACTCTATAATCCTGAATTATCCCTGCCCCGCTTGGCTGTATAACCCTTGTAGGTTCAGCACTTCTTTTTTTTTATAATAATGAGGCATTCACGACCCTACATATGGAAAAGGTCAGGCTCACTTTTGAGTATGCAGTGCCAGCCAAGAATCCACATATCTAATAAAACACCCAAGGAAATTGAAAAACGCAAAAGTTTTGCAACGAGAACTGAGGGGCATGAACTATAAAGAGAGGCTAGAGGAGTTAAACCTGATAATACTAGAGACAGAAGGACCTGGTGTGACGTGATTACAATATTCAAAACACAGGAACTGAAAGGGCGAATCTGTTTGAGAAGCGGGTCTCCGGTACATGAGGGCGCAAGTGGAAGTTTAAAACAGATGGGCCACAGGGATGTCAGGAAATTCTTCAGCCTTAAAGTGGTTAGGCAGTGGAATGACCTAGATAGCGAAGTAGTAGAAGCAGAATCGTACATAGCTTAAATAATAGGCATGACAGGGCGGCCAGGGGGAAAAAGCAGGGTCAGGAGATGAGACTCGACCTCTGTAACCATTAACAGGCGAGTACACTTATAATATACACCTGCTACCATAATATATACATTACCATAATATACTCCTGGTACCATAATATACACCTACCATTATATACATCTATCACCATACTATATACCTGCTTCCATTATGTACGTATACCTCCGTAATAATATACCTACTACTACAGTATATACCTGCCACCATAATGCATTCCTGGCTACCATTATATTTTCCTGTCCCTACATCTGTCATCATATGTCACTCTAACCTTTCTTTCATGACCTGTAGTGAATTTCTCCCTGTGATCAAGCCTGAGCAGAGTATATGACTTAGGTGAACCACTGTGACCCAGGTAACCCACTGCAATATAAGATGATCTAGGTGATCACTGACCCCGGTGATGTGACCCCTGTGACTTAGGTGACCCCTCTGTGACCCAGGTGACCCCTCACTGACCTAGGTGAATGGTGACCCCTCTATGACCTAAGTGATCCCCCCTCACTGACCTAGGTGAATGGTGACCCCTCTATGACCTAAGTGATCCCCCCTCACTGACCTAGGTGACCCCCCTCACTTACCTAGGTGACCCCTCACTGACCTAGGTTACCTTCTGTGACCCAAGTGAACAACTGACAGAGTTGATCCACGGTGACCGTGACCTAGATGAACCAGTATGACCCACATAAACCACCGTGACCTAGGTGATCCACGTGAATCACTATAACCTAGGTAATTCGCGTGAACCAGTGATCTAGGTGACGATGTGACCCACTCTGATCTACACAGATGACCTAAGGTTATGAACATGGTACTCACCTGGAACCGTTGGGCGCCTTCCATTCGGCATCAGTAACGAAGTCACCGCTGTAGCAAGAACACTAGCTTAGTACACTCACACCTGGCGTCTTACACCGCGGATCACATGACGCTTTTTGTTATTGAAAATTTTCCACTACAAGAGATTTACATGTAGTGAATAAGTAGCCCAGTTATTTTAATTAGATTATCCTAGCGAAACGCACGTATGCTGCTATTTTTAATGTAAATCCCTTGTATGTATGGATGGCATTATAAACTACTCTTAGTATATTACTAATATTAGGATTAAAAACCTTTAGACTACATGGGGTCAGTTAGCTGCACGTAACCGGTACACCACCAGCCCCTGAGAATACTTTTATCACTAAAATTGAAATTAAAGTATACTGTGAGTACATATGCAGTGAAATATACACCTTCTGGTGTAAATACAATGATACACAACCTCTCGGTGTATATACAGTGACATACACCTGTGTATATTCGATGAGATACATACTTTCTGGGGTATATAAGATATACACACCAGTGTATATACCATGATATATACACCTCTCGGCGCATATACAAAGATACAGACCTCTCGGTGTGCATATCATTTTGCTTTTAGTATAGCTTATTATGCAAGGAATATTGGGAACAAAACTGACGTCCTAGCAAATGAGTCCAATACAATATCCCAATATTCCTTACACAACTGGTTACTTCCACGATAACTAGATCAGCGCTAAATGACTTGCACGGGTTTACCGCTGTGATTAATAATAGATTAGTATAGCTCTATGGTTATACTCATACATCCCTCTGTGTATGGTCAAACAACCAGATATTAGTATATATAGCTATGCATATGCATTATATGATCTATATTTAAGAAATGTGTTGATATTTATTTTATGATTTCTTAAAATATTTTTTTTTCTACGACCCTTCATGCTCTAAGTTAAAAGTGACTACTTTCACAGTCTCAATATATATTAAAAGTTGTGTATTAATATATTTGGTATCATAAAACAACGCCGCGTATTCATAACGGCGCTGAACATGTTATATACGTACATGAAATAATGCTAAAACCCGTGAAGGTTATTTAGATACAATACACTAACCCATTTATTAACAGCTTGTAGCTGTGTTATGATTCCCTGACCCTTCAAGACGGGTGGGAGGAGTATACTTTAATGCTGAAGTCTTTTGACTCCCAATGAATTTAGCACTTTCTGATATAATATTTATACTACTGAAAATAACAATAATAGTAATAATAATAATAATAATAATAATAATAATAATAATAATAATAATAATAATATGTTGGTAGACAGAAACCACCCAGGGAAGTACTACTGTCCTGCTAAATGAGTGCAAGACAGAAACCTGTATTTGTTTTACATAATGGTAGGAGTGCTGGTGTCTTTTTGTCTGTCTCATAAACACATAACATAACAGTTATATCTTGCTACTTTTACTTATAATTAGGTCAACCTACACATGTATGTACACATTTATGTATACACACTCATCTGAGTTTTCTTTAGTTTTTCTTAATAGTTCTTGTTCTTATTTTCTTTTCATATCCTTGGGGAAGTGGAATAAGAATTTTTCCTCCATAAGCCATGCATGCTGTAAAGTCAACTAAAATGTCGGGAGCAATGAGCTAGTAACCTCTTTTCCCGTATAGCCTACTAAAAATAAAAAAGAAGAAAACCTTTAAGTTAGGATGTTTGAATGTGCATGGATGTAGTGCACATGACAAGAAAGAGGTGACTGTGGATGTTATGAATGAAAAGAAGCTGGATGTCCAGGCTCTAAGTGAAACAAAGCTGAAGGGGGTAGGAGAGTTTCAGTGGGGAGAAATAAATGGAAATAGGTCAGGGGTTTCTAATAGAGTTAGAGCTAAGGAAGGAGTAGCAATAACGTTGAAAGATCAGTTATGGCAGGGGAAGAGTGAATATAAATGTATAAATTCAAGGATAATGTGGAGTAAAATAAAGGTGGGATGTGAAAAGTGGATTATAGTAAGTGGTTTATGCGCCTGTAGAAAAGAGAAAGAGAATTTGGGAGATGTTGGGTGAGTGCGTGGGGAGTTTTGAACCAAGTGAGGGTACTTGTGGTGGGGGACCTAAATGCTACAGTGGGTAAAACTACTGTGAAGGGAGTAGTAGGTAAGTTTGGGGTGCCAGGGAATAATGGAAATGGGGGAATTTATGTATAACAACAGGCTTGGTAATAAGTAATACATATTTTAAGAAAAAAGAGGATAAGTAAGTATCCAAGATATGATAGAGGACATAATGAAGAAGTTTGTTAGATTATGTATTGGTAGATTGGAGGTTGATGGGTAGACTTTAGAATGTGCATGTTTATAGAGGGGCAACAGATAAATCGGATCATTACTCAGTTGAAGCTACAGTTAGAGTAATAGGTAGATGGAGCAAAAGGAAAATGGTAACAGCAAGAGGTAAAAGTTTATAAACTGGGAGGAGGAAGTTATGGTGAGATATAAGTAACTATTGGAAGAAAGGTGGGCTGATGAGAGTATAGGTAGCATGGGGGTTGAAGAGGGAAAGGATAGTTTTAAAAAGGCAGTGCTAGAATGTGGAGCAGGAGTTTGTGGCTATAGGAGGGTGCATGCAGGAGGAAAGAGGAGTGACTGATGGAGTGATGAGGTAAAGGGTGTGATAAAACAGGAAAAAAGTTGCGTATGAGAGATTTTTACAGAAAAGTGATATACGAAGGGTGGAGTATCTGGAGTGTAAAGAGAGGTAGAGTGGTGAGGGAGTGCAAAATGAGAGCAAATGATGGAGCGGGTGAGGTGCTGTCAACAAATTTTGCTGAGAATAAGAAAAAAATTTGGAGTGAGATAAATAGGTCAAGACTGCCTAGGGAACGAATGGATTTGTCAGTTAAAAACAGAATAGGGGAGTTGGTGGTATTGGGAGGATGGCAGGAATAGTTTGAGGAACTGTTAAATGATGATGAAGAGAGAGAGGCAGTAATTTCATGCATTGGTCAAGGAGGTATAAAATCTTTTAGGAGTGAAGAATAGCCGAATGTGAGTGTGGGGGAGGTGCGTGAGGCATTAGGTAGAATGAAAGGGGGTAAAGCATCTGGAACTGATGGGATCATGACAGAAATGTTAAAAGCAGGGGAAAAATATAGTTTTGTAGTGGTTAGTACTTTTGTTCAATAAATGTTTGTATGAGGAGAAGGTACCTAAGAATTGGCAGTGAGCTTGTATAATTCCTTAATATAAGGGAAAAGGAACAGAAAAGATTGTAAATATTACAGGGGAATAAGTTTACTGAGTAATACCAGGTAAAATATATGGTAATGTTACTATTGAAAGAATTAGAGGTAAGACAGAGAGCAGGATTGCAGATGAACAAGGTGGCTTTAGAATGGGTAGAGGATGTGTAGATCAAGTGTTTAAATTGAAGCATATACGTGAACAATATTTAGATAAAAGTAGGGATGTTTTCATTGTATTTTTGGATTTAGAAAAGGCATATGATATTGTGGGTAGGGGAGCAATGTGGCAGATGTTGCAAGTGTGTGGAATAGGTAGTAAATTACTAAATGCTGTAAAGAGTTTTGTATGAGGATAGTGAGGCTCATTTTAGGGTGTGCAGAAGAGAGGAAGATTACTTTCCAGTAAAAGTACGCCGTATACAGAGATGTGTAATATCACCATAGTTGTTTAACATATTTATGGATGGAGTTGTAAAAGAAGTAAATACTAGGGTGTTGGGGAGAGGGATGGGATTAAATTATGGGGGAATCAAATACAAAATGGGAGTTGATACAGTTACTTTTTTGCTGATACTGTGCTTTTGGGAAATTCTAGAGAGAAGTTGCAAAGGTTAGTGGACGAGTTTGGTTGTGTAAAGAAAGTTGAAAGCGAACATAGATAAGAGTAAGGTGATGAGAGTATCAAACGAGTTTAGGTAAAGAAAGATTGGATATCACATTGGAGGGAGTACGGAAGAAGTGAATATGTTCAGATACTTGGGAGTATATTCGTCAGCAGATGGGTTTATGACGGACGAGGTTAACCACTGACGAAAGAAAAAAAGGTGAGTGGTGCGTTGAAGTGTCTGTGGAGACAAAAAAACGTCATCTATGGAGGCAAAGAAGGGAATTTATGAGAGTATAGTGGTACCAATACTCTTATACAGGTGTTAAGCACGGGTTGTAAATGCTGCAGTGAGGCGGCTGGAGGCAGTGATGTGTGTCTATGGGCAATGTATGGTGTAAATATTATGCAGAGAAATTGTAGTGTGGAAATTAGGAGGTGTGGAGTTACAAAAAGTATTCAGAGCGATTAAAAAAGGGGTTATTGAGGTGGATTGGTCATTTAGAGAGGATGGAGCAAAATAGAATGACTTGGAGGGTGTATAAATTTATAGTGGAGGGAAGGAGGGGTAGGGGTTGTCCTAGGAAAGGATGGAGGGAGGGGAGTAAAAGAAGTTTTGTGTGCAAGGGGCCTGGACATGTGTGTGCTAGATAGGAGAGAATGGAGATGAATCGTTTCTGGGACCTGACGAGCTGTTGGAGTGTGAGCAGGGTAATATTTTGTGAAGGTATTCAGGAAACCAGTTAGCCGGACTTCGAGTCCTGGAGGTGGAAAGTACAATGCCTACACTTTAAAGGAGGGACATCTAAACTGTTATATCTGGGCACCTCTACAAAGACATTATGTGTGAATGATGGTGAAAGTGTTTCTTTCTTTTTTTGGGTCACGCTGCCTCGGTGGGAGACGGCCGACGTGTTAAAAAAAATAATTTTGGTAAAATCTCACCAAACCGCAGATTAAATACTTACAGATTACTCCCAGTTAAATTCCAGTAAAGTGTCAGAAATCTCTGCTAAGCATAAATAGCTACACAAAAAGATGTTGACTATCAGATTCATTCACCAAACTGGGAAAAATATTAATATGCTGGATTGTTGGCGAATTACTGCAAATATATTACCTTTGCTAAGAAATAAATGTATTTAGCTCGCATGATCAAGAGTCCAGCATGATGCTCACGTACATCTCT